TGAACTTAGATATTTGTCTAAGAATTCACATTTTGCGTTATTAACCCTGGACGCATAATGTACGTAAATTTGACGTACACGTTTTCGTTTTTTACAGTTATTTCATTTTTGTGTTCATATATTGGTCTCGCGCTCTTGATATGTTCAGTCGGGATCTAACTCTTGCGTAAGGTATATGATAAGTGTCGGTAAGTCATGACATAAGTTAAATATTGAGTCGTTGTACGTCATTTTTACGTATGATTATACTTTGTGTAACTTTTATGGCTAATAAAGTATTTTGAAAAACTTTTATTTCTTTCAAATTTCAGTAAAGTTTTAATAGAAATGGAATCAAAGAGATTTAATATTGTTGAAATATTACAAAAAGATGAAGAAAATGATCAGAAAGGTGGAAAATCTAGTTCTAGTCGAACATATTGTGCATTCTGTTCATAGAAGAAAAAAAGAATGACAAACATTAGATGTAGTTCTTGTAAAAAGCCGATTTGTAGAGAGCACAATCGTGATACATGCTTTAAGTGTATTTCTGCATAGGATTAATTATTATTATATAACTAAAATTAGCTGATTTGAACCAAAGTTCCTAATAATTTTAATTATTTTCGTAACATTTATGACGATCTCAATATGACTTGCTATTTGTATAAGCTAACTTTAATTTGTTTATTTTATAAGTATATATAAATTTCATTTACTTTTTTGTTTCTATTATTATTTTTTGATTTATTCTAAGTAAAAATAAAAAAAAAATATTAAGAAATATTGAAAATTTACTCTTAATACATAATGTTGAAAAATGCAATTCCTTTATAAGTGAAAATCATTGGCATATTATATTTATTGTGTTTATTTAAAAAATGTGTTTGAAAGTATTACTGTTTTGTTTTAATTTGAATAAATAAATACTTCTTTAAAAACTTGTAAAAAACTTGCACACATTTAAATTAATATAACGGCAAAATATAAACTCTGAAAATTGTACGTCATTTTTACGTATGATTATTCTTAACGTTAGTAGAATTATGATTATACGTCCAGGGTTAAATCATATGCCGAAAAAATGTAAAACATTTTTTAATTAGACAACTGGTATCACAAAATCAAAATATGAAAATAAAACGGTTTTTAATGTAATATTAAAAAACAATATTAATTTCAATTGTATAAAATAAAGGGAATTTTTAGAGTAATTATTCAAAAAAGCGATTTCTGTCACTTTAAAATGATGCATATTTCAGAGTTTTCTTTAAAGCAAATTTAAAGACTTTTGGATTCGTTTTATCAGTAAGCTTATGTGCAATTTTCTATAACAGAACGCACTGTGACTTTTATTCAAAACCTCAATAATAAGTATTGAATGCCAGTGTAACGAAGAGTACTAATAAATGTTAGCAATCAAAACTAATTCCATTAGTGCGATGAACTCTGTCTTCACACAATTTATCTCTAATAAACGGAAGATAACTAACCTCCTCTTTTAGATGACAAAACCCATAGTCTAGATTGAAACATATTCCATCGTGGATCTTTCATAAAACAATTGCATGAAATAAAAATATAGAATCTGATCTTCACTAACCTTTATAACAAACTAATCTAGGTCGAGGTGTGTTAATTTGGAAGTCCTAAACGTAATTTCACTAGAAATTACTATTTGGCATATTTAAGTAGCAGTTTTGTGTACTGCTTTCCTTCTGATAAGTGACTTAGTAGTTATAAAGCCTCTCCTAGAAGAGATAATGGGTAAGAGCTAATCTATTTTAAATGTTATATAAAAATGTGTTGTTTTTATAGCACGAAACATAAAAGGAATACGTGAGGAATACAAATATGTGAGAAATGATTTGGTAGAGTGAGAATAGGAAGTATTATTTTAAATAACGGATGTAGTTTCAATTGAAGCTAGCCTGAGCCAAAGTTAAGAAACCTAGCTAGTTCAATAGGTCGAAGCCGAAGATCAATAGGGTTTTCATTGGGTCATAAATATCAATCGCATTTAAGTCACCATCTTGTCTATCAAACACAGTTTTTCTAAAATATCTTCCATTCTTGAATGGAACGGTTCTACGCCGTTCAGCATTTATTAAATAACAAAATAAAATGTCAAGTATTTCTTTTTATAATAATTTGTTAATTTATTTTTCTAATAATTTCTTTTCACTTCGATTTTATTTTAATTTTTATTATAATAATAAGGGTAATTTGTTTTTTTTTTATTTTATATAGTAATTAATTAATAAATACACAATTATAATTTATATGCAAATATAGTATTTGTAAAGTCAGTAAGTAGAAAAATGGAGTAAAAAAATGTTTTCATTTTAACAGTTAAAAAAATTTAAAAAACAATATAAATTAAGAAAAATATTTTTTAAATTTTATGATCCACCATTGGAAATACAAAAATATAAACCAAAAATTTCAATTTTATAATTACAAGTTTTATTAAAACGTTTTCTGAAATAAAACTATTTTACTTAAATTGAATAGGAAATTTTAAATTATTACATTTCACTCTTCCTAACTAAACAAAATTTGTTAAGAACTAATTAAAACTATTATTAAGTCTAAATTGAAATTATAATTAAATCAAAGCATTAGAAAAAAAAATATGTAATAATTTATATTTAAACTATATTACTTAATATAATTAACTTTAGCACAGAATAAAATTAAATTAATTTTAAAAATAATATGTATAAGTAAATTAATAAATAACATTTATAATAAATTTATTATAACATAATTAATACAAAAATATAAAAAATTGAAATTATGACAATTCAAAATTTTTACAATATTATATTTATTTTTTAATTTTTTTTAAAATATAATTTATAAACTAAATAACTAATTTTTACACTTAGTTTTTTAATGTTTAATATATAATATATATGCTTGTTTATCAGCGCACATATATGTAATAATATGCGTGCAAGTGCATATATACTGGGTTCTATATTCAAATGTTCTTCAATTTTAAGCATATAACTTAAGGCGAATTAGAACTAAAGATAAATTTTTTATATTTCACATATATAAATATTTGTATTTGTTTATTTTAGTTTTGTATTAAAACATAATTCTAATATATAATATATAAATGTTTGCATAAAACATTTTAAAATTTTTACATCATGAGTCCTTTTACGTATTTCATGTTATGCAAAGAATTGTGTAGATTAATGTTATTTTATTAACTTACTTTATTTATGTTAATTTTATTTTTAATATATATATATACATATGCATATATATATGCATATATATATATATACCAAAACTTAAGCGTTTATATATTGTTTACTATTACTGTTTTCATTTAAATATTATACAGTTTCTCTTATAAGTCTTCTTAGCGTTTTATTGTTGTATGTGTGTATTGTTCTGTATTGGAAATATTAAAAATAAATTAAAATTGGAAATTATCAAGATTTTGTTTTTTATTGATAATTTTTTATTTGATAATTAATTTTAAATAAAATATTAAATCGAATTCTATAAATGTTCGTATATATTATAATTACATATTTTATTTTATTAAATATAGAACTTATATTTAATTTTATTGTTGTAAAAAAGACAAAACAGCCCATTTTTTCAGTTTTGACTCGTGTTTGAGTTTGAAGATTTTTTATGAAAAAAATATTTAGCTTTAAATTATGTATAATATTATTTTAATTAAGTTTGAAGTTTGAAGTTCGAATTTTGAATTTTAAATTTTTGTTTATGCAAGTTTTTTAATGTTCACATGTATCAGTAGATTACTAGAATAATCGAACTCGAATAATCGAACTCGAATAATGCAAAATATAGAGTCCTAATTTGTACAAAATTATTTTAGGAGAATGAAAAATAATTACAAATATCAAATATTTTATGTATGTAAATATCTTTCCATATATGACAAAACTTAAATATTTAAATAAATAGAAAATGTTTATATAATTTACATAAATTACATGAATTAAGAATATCAGAAAAGGTATTGTTACATTCAAAAATAATTCAACTTTCATTTCCAAGTCTTAGAAACTCATTGTCAGTTTCCATTTTTATTTTTTGTCAAATAATTTTTTATTGCATATTAATTTATTTTTACAGTTTCTTTCATGTTAAATTGGAAATTGAAATGAATATATAATGCAACATAGTGTATCGCTAATTGTTTAACATATATCTTCATAAGGACAAAATAAATATGTGATAAGATAACAATTAGGTTTGTATATGTATGTACTTGTATTTGCAATTATAATGTTGAAAGGCTATATATATATATATATATATAAATATGTATAGTATGTGTAGGCGTAGGTGTAGGTATAGGTGTTCACGTCCTCTGTAATGATGACATCACGTGTCTCAATAGTCAATTAAAAGTCAATAGCTGTAAATTTGCAATACTAATTTTAGTGTAACTGGAACCGTAATTTTAATGTACTCTGTAATATATTTCAATTTACAACTGTGTTTTATTTGTATATTATAATTTAATTAATACAATTTGTTAATAAATATTTATGTTCCAATAAATATTTAAGTATAAATATGCATGAATTTTTTAGTTATTTTATATCTAAACTTCAATACTTAAAGGTGAGGGTATTATGTATGTAAATATGTACGTATGTATATTTAAACGCATTCGCGTATTCGCGTTCCTGTCTTATATGCGGTCAGGCGTGTTGTGTATTATTTCACAATGTAATTAAGTCCATGTTTTGCGTTTATGGTTGTGGTTGTTATTGTTGTTGTTGTTATTGTTATTATTATTATTATTGCTTTAAGCTTATTTTTTTTAATAATTTCATTTTGTTCTTTGTATACTTCCGTAATTGAATTAATTATTATAAATTGATTTATTTCAAGACAAGTACGAATCGGTATCTTATTTGCTAACGTTATGCCTACCAAGTAAATATAAAGATTTACCTTCGTTGAATGTTAATTACTTTAAAACGTTTTACATTTAATGGCTTCTTGTATTTGCGTTGTTGTAACTAATATAGCTGTATTGTTGATTTTCATATAGTTGGCATTGTAGTTGTACGTGTTCAGTGTCATACTTCCATTGCGTCTGCTGCTGTGGTATTTTTAAACCAGACGCTTGTAGTCACAACTAATCTTCGTCACTTAATGCTTCATATTGGGCCGATAACAGAGGTTTGGGTTCCGTTGTTGAAGATGAGCTAGATGTTTGTGCATTATTAATTCCAGGTCCAGCACTTTCTGCCGCTGAATGTGTATGCACTTGTTGCTTAGTTATATGAGAAGCGGGTTGATGAGGCACCGCCATTTGTTGAGGAGGTTGCATACCGACGGGTGAGCTGGGTACATTAAGAGCACTGTATGGATAGGCATATGTCGTTGGTGCGAATGTTGTGACTGGTACTTGCTGTTGATATGGACCAAGTCCTGTGCTTGGCGCATGTTGAGAGTCATTATTTGAAGCAATCGAAGAACCCGATCGTCTACCATCCCGATCGTCATACTGATTTGGTGTTTTTCTTGATCCACTTATATTTACAGCAGTCTCATGTAAATTTTTATTACCACCTCGATGATCGTTGTGCTGGTGATGTATTTCCTCTACGCGATGATCATCTTCAGTGCGCATTACTTCAACAATCCTGTTCTGGACATATTTCATTGTATCAAAATGATGATTCTGTACAGAAGTTACATTAGCTGAAATAGATCCAGTGTTTCCACCTGACATTCTTTGATCATGTCCACCTGATGACAAGTTCGAGTTTCCACTACTAGACCGTGAATGTACGCCAATTGATTGCACACTAGTCGGTGGTGGGCCAAGTGGATGATAATAATGAGATGCTGCTTCATGTTGTACGACCCCACCTGTTTGATGCGGCATTATTTCATGAACATATTTACGAGGACTCGGTATTGTATTCCGATCATCTCCTGGTGTATTTGAACGACTCCCAGAACTCCCATTGTTAGCGGCTAAATTACCACTGTTATTAGCATTTTGCGTGGAATTCTTACCCCGTTCAGCTGCTGCTTCTGCTTCTTTTTGTTGTATAAGAAGATATTTCCAACGATCAGGTGCTACCATAGTTTGAGGATCTTGCATATAAGGTATAAAATTAGCTGTAGGTCTCATAGTTTGTCTGATTGGATTTGGGCCAAAATCATTAGTAATAATCGAATCTGTTAACTCAGCAAGTGTTATGCCTTTAGTCATAATGGAAGATTGTTGACTTTGAGTTGAATGAGACTGTGAAGTAGGTGGTGGTGGACCTTGTTGAGATGGTGGACCACGAGAGTTATGAACTTGGCCGCGGGAATTACTGGTAGGTGGATCATATTGTGCACTTCCCATACGATCATTATCAAGATCTATATTTATTATATTTGGTGAATTTGATTTTCCATTATTTTCGACGGCAGCTAATGCAGCAGCTGTTGGAGCATGTTGACGCGTTAGTGGAATATCACGTGAGTTATACTGAAAGAAATAGAACGTGAAATTTAAAGTATTTTACTTAAATAAAATTATAATTACAATTGATGAACGCGCCATATCGCGGTTAATGTTTGTGGGATTTGGTTCAGAGCTTCCTTGGCTAATTTGATGCTTTATAATTGCATCTATTAGAACTTGCGCAGATAATGTTCCATCAGATGGTTGACCAGGATGAATTCTGTGATAACTAATTCAAAATATAAATAGATCAATTCCAGTTTAATATTTTAATATCAATTTCTTTTTATACTTACGGATCTCTTTCATGATCTGGAATGGCTCGAGGCGGTCCGGTGTCGGGGGGTACACGCAAGTAGTGAGGTGGCCCAACTGCAGCTGCTGCGGTGTTTCCGGCATAAATACGTTCCATTCTTCTATCTTCTCGAGTTTGTTCATCTGCTACACGTTGTTGTTCTCTTCGTTCTCTTACGCGTTCCCGATCTCGTTCTCGTTCGCGATCAATGCGTTCACGTTCAGCTTGCATTCGTTCTTGATGTAAACGGTTCATGTCTCGCTCTTGTCGTTTCTGCATATCACGCTCTATTCCGTGCATACGTTGATCGCGCTTCGCTTGATCCATACGACGCTGCAAATCAACAGCAGCATTTGCAGCTACATGGTGATGATATTGCTGTGCAACTGCTGCAGCGTGTTGTATTTGCATTGCCATATGATCACGATTCATTTGATAACGAATTTCATGGCGTGATGGTGGTTGGGAAGAAGGATGTTGATGAGGAGGATGTGTTTGCTGTTCATGACGCGTTGACTTTTCGTCTTTTTGAGACGGGACGGGTAGTTGCGGTTGCTGAACAGCGACATCAACAAACGATGAAAATGCTTCATGACCAGCTAAAAAATGAAACAAAATAAAAAAATTGTTTTCTTTTTTCACATATACAACTTGCCTGGCGGATAATTATGACTCATCACATGCATACTCCTTTGCTGCGAGGCAGCAGGTGATGGAGGCTTAGAGCCAGTGTTATGCCTTTGAATTACTCCTTGACGCTGTGGAGGAGGAGTTCGATGCGGACTAGGAGTGCTGAAATAACATAATTATTTATATATAGTTTTATTTATTTTAAGTATATTCCATACCTATTTATATGATCAGCAGGCGAAGCTCGACTTGAATACTCTGTCCGGCCACGATCTTTGTCATAATATACAAGTCCACTTGTAATACTATTTACGCTATTTCGTGGCGAAGGAGATTCTTTATCAGAACCTGCGCCTCCACCTGCACTGCCACGAGACACATTTCTTTGTTGACCTTGCATCTGTTGTGATGTTATATAATCATGCATAACAATCTGGCGAGTGCTTAAAACAGGTGACTGTTCTACACCGTAAGGAGAACGTACATAAGGCGAGTTTACACCATAATTTTGAGATGGTGGAGCCTGCGGTGAGGATTGTTGCGGTGGAGGTAGGGGACCCGATTGTTGTGCCGGACTTTGACGTTGCGTTGGTTTGTAATATTCATAACCACGTTTGCTTTCTAAATGATGTCCAGGTAAATGTATAGGAGTACCTTGAGTTATTGATCCCAGCTTGCTATCGGTAGTTGAAGGCGGTGTTTGACGAAGTATACCATCAAATTTAGGACTAAGTGCATTTGAAGACGTATGCACAATTATTTGTTGTGAGTTATTAATTGGTGTTCCATGCGTAATAGAGCCTTTCGGTCCTCCAACTAGAATTTGTTGCGTTGAAGGAGGCGGAATATGTTGTGTAGGATGTATAAGCTGAGGACTTAATTTCGGTGCCATTTTTGATGCACATTTGCTACCGATTGTTGCACTTGATGGAAGTTGCATGTGCGCAGAGCTATTTTGCGGGTTTTGCTGAGCGTGAGGTGGCTGCGGTTGTTGTACACCACTATTTTGAGATCGTCCCTGTGTAATAGAAATAGGAATAGGTACTTGTGATACTAAAAATGCCCCTGGAGGTGCTTTGCCTACTGTTGCAGGATGTGGGTGATACGATAAGTACGTAGGATTAGGTGCCAATAAAGGCGTTGGTTCAGGTGCGCGGTATATTGCAGGCGCATTACTAACATGCTTTACAGTACTAAGTGGAGGTTGATGTCTTGATAGACTTTCAGGCAGACCAGATGATATTGAAGATGATGAATGTGGTGAAGGACCATCACGCGAAGGCTTTTTAATAGATAAATCTAACGTTTGAGGTTCAGGTTCATTATTGCGATGCTGTTGAACTGAAGTTGATCCACCATAAATTATTGTATCAGAAGGATGTGGCGGTGTAGAATTTTTGCCTGTTTTAACTACTGGTGTGATTGTAGCTTTTACATCGTGCTGAGGTATCATATTGTGGGGCGGCAAATGTTGTCCAGGTATATGTGAATTAACTACTGACAATGTAGCTAAATTGTCAAGCGGAAGTTGTGCTGCTTGTTGAGATGACCCACTCAAATTAACAGAAGAATTCTGCTGCCTTGAACTTAGGTTTTGTATATTCTGGGACATTGAATGACCATGTGCTTGTTGTTTCACAATAGAGCCATCATTGCGATATTCTCTAACAATTGTTACATCATTGTTAGAGTTATTACTATTGTTACCGCTATTACCAATGTCAGTACGACGGCTTGATTGCTCTACTCCAGATTTACTTAAATGTGGACTTATGTGCTGCTGTGCTGGTAATTTTGAAGGAGGTTGTGCCTTGGCTTTAAGTGAATGCTCTATCATTGTATAGAGGAAATCTTGAACGTTCAGTGCTGATTCTCGACCTGGTAACGGCATTTGCTGAGAAGATGGAGGTAAAGGCTGAGGACCATTTGATTGTGCATTTAATGGTGGAGGTGGAAGTCCTGGTGTTACTACTGTACTGCCACTGCCACCAATGCTGCCACTGTTATTGAGAGTTACTTTTGGACTTTGTCGATTAGCTGGAGAATTTTCATTCTCCTCATCCGCAGTTTCGGTTGCAGACGAATCATATTCCTCAGACGTTTTTTGTTTGCGTGGTGCATGTCCAAGTGGAGGTAACAATCGTTCATCAGATTTTGAGACTGTTATTGTAACTGTTGTTGTATCAGCTGCATTTGTTTTTACACTATTTGCATTTATTGGTGTCAAAGGCTTTTTTAAGTCCTTCGTTAGTGAGTTATGTCTTTGTGGATTTTCCGGACTATCAACTGAAGCTGTATCACTACCCCCTGCTTCACGTTCATCACACGAAGATGTACTAACATCAGACTCATCTCCGTCGGTGGTGCGACGTTCTTCATCAGTTAAATTTATATGCGGGTCAAGCTTGCGACGAATCCGCATCAAACATGCCGAACAACATCGTGAAGCTTGTACAGGTATCTGAAATTCATGTATAATCGGCTCACGAATATCGTTAGTCAGTTCAAATAAACGTGCCGGAATGTTATGTAATCGTTTCGCCCGATCCTTTGGGTTTGGGCAGGTTGGAATTGGACAATTGGGATACCGATTACGCACTGACTTACATTGACACGAATTACAGACACGAGCGCCTACTACAATTGAATCGTCTGCAATTCCATACTGTTGCCCACGACCTTTTTTCAATGGTCGTGTACGTGGACATGCCTCAGCTTTGCATACAAAACAGGTAGCAAGTTTGTCTGAAAAAAAAACAAATACAAAAAAATTTATAAAAATAATATAATAAAATAAATCAAAAACTATTTTAATTTAAATTAAAAATATAATTTTTGGTTGAAAGCTGTTTTGAGTATTTGGCAAAGTTCGAGCCTAATATTAAACATTTCTTTTTAATTATTTTTTAATAGGAGTTAACGATCTAAAATAATATAACAGCACCGTGTCATTAGGTACTAAATTTGTATTTTTATTGGCTTATTACTTATACTTCTTTTTTACATAGGACATATGTGTCAAGATGTATCGATAATATAATACTATTGACGTGAAGTCATATTTTCCAAATAAAGATCCCAAGATAAATATGATCAAAGAGCATTTAATAATTAAAAACTGCAATCCAATGAAAAAGTAAGTAAACGTTTACTTTGAGAAGGTCAAAGAAGCTTAATATATTGATCAATTTGATTGGCCAAATCTAGAATACATAATTTTGTATAAAAAATAACGTCATAAGCTTATTATTAAGTCATTAAGTCCAAAAAAAAAAAAATAACCTCACTAATGAGTCAAAAATTTAGTTCCAACCTTATTACAATTATTTTTAGCCCTATGTTTAGAGAGCTTGCGGGACTGCAATCGATTAAGATGATTGTTCTAATACTCTCCGAAAGGTAGTCTAAGAATTATGAAGACATGGAGCTGAACCAGTAAGACAATGTCTTCTTTTACGATTTCGGTAACATTTAATACTGACTTCTTATATGTTACTGGGTTCTGAAATAATGCATCTTGGATTGCATTATTTCAACATAGTTGATACTTGTTGGAATAATTGTATTATAATTTCTTTAAGTAATTAATTTATGTCACAATTTTTTTTTAATGCATCTTGGATTGCATTATTTCAACATAGTTGATACTTGTTGGAATAATTGAATTATAATTTCTTTAAGTAATTGATTTATGTCACAATTTTTTTAGTTTTTAAGACTAACTGTATTCAGTTACGTTCTTCAATACATTGGAGCATACTACATACGAAGAACTTTGTGATTTTCGCTTTTGAAGATTTTTTCCAGCTTAAAAAGTATCAAAAATAATGTGAAACCTTCGATCGAATGATTAATTATTCTTAAATATTTAGTGTTTTTTTAAACGATACACGAATGCCCACATTTATTTCAGTTTTCCAAACTTTCTTCGTGCCTACTGCCTATGCTTTTTAAACAATGATGAAGAAAGAAGATCGATTGTATGAATAATTTATGGGCACTTTAAGAGAAGACTCAAGTCTCCCCCATTTTTTAAACGCTCAAGCTTTTAGGACACAAGCTAAATCATAGGAGTTACGGGTGGCTTGTGCGGTTTATATTTTAATTTTCATTACTGCCAAATGACTTTACATTTACCTTGTTTTAATATTTTTACAGTTTTAACGATATGTAAATAAGACCAAATAAGGCAACACAATATATAAAAGAAGCATGAAAACGCAAATGCAAATACTGTCACTTTGAATAAAATACTCTAAAATCTCTCGAATGCGCTTTACGTACTGGCGGAATACCTAGCCAAAAAACTGGCTAGCTAGGGTGGTATAGCGGAGGATATAAAATTTCTTGTAATTAAAATTTCAAGGAAAAAACAAACTGAAAATTAAAATTAAAAAAAATAATAATGCTAATTTACCAATAGCTGCTGAAGAGCGCTTTATATACATTTGCGCCATCAAATATGGTATTTTTAGCAATGCCGCAGACAACCGTTTAAAAAGTTTTTATTCATAATAAATAGATTAAAAATAATAGAACTATTATAAGAAAAAGTTGACCGAAATAGGTAGATATTAGTTAATTTATTATCATATCATATCATATCATATCATATTTAACATGAATGACAATTCATGCTCTTCAATTAATAGCATTCCACTTTCATGGTACCACTTCGACTACTGCAGTTATTTCTTCGACTTAGTGCCAGTACTCAACAGAGTATGAATAATGAGACACAAACTGATAACTGGACGTTATATGAAGTCATGGAGGACAATGTGGTTCCATATTTCAGTTTGCAGCAGAATACCGCAGTTATGAAGTAAAAATGTCAAGAAAAATCAAGTCCCCGTGGAATTTTCAAAAGCAAAGAAATATGTTTTGTTTTGTGAAATGCAGCGATTGAAATTTTAATAAACCACTTTAAGTAATTTTGTTTGCTGTAGAGTATATGAAATTGAACAAAAGTAAATATTTCGAAATTCTAAACCTCGCACTTTATGAATAAAATTGAAAGTTAAATGGATGTGGTACTACTCGTAAACAATTAAGTTATTTATTTACAATATCTTTAACTGGTGTGAATAAGCGTACAAAGGTACATACATTCAAAAATTATGTTACCACATATTAATACCAAATAAATAATATATATATACTCCGCTCTGCTCCTGTGCTTAAAAAATTGTCAAAATACAAATCCTACTAAAATAATTATTTTAATTAAAATTAAAGCCAAAACACAAAAAGTAAATACGATTGTAAAAATTGCAAAATCCAATAAAATTAATTAAAATTAGCCTCCGTCGACATTAAAAATGGGTAAGTTTGTAATCTGTGTGTGCAAAATAAGGCAAATTAAATGCCAATTAAACTGACAACAATATCGAGTACAGAAATAATTAAAACGAAAAATAAATAAACAAATAAATACTGACGACCACAAAAAATCGATATATGAATGGAAATTTATTTAAATTTTTAGACAAGAAATGTTGCTAAAAAGTATAACTTCTGGTTTTGGACAGAGAGACAAAGATCAAACCCTTCACAAACTTACGGAACAGCAATACGAATCCAAATAATTATGACTTATTATCAAATGCGTATTGTTTTCAATATCCCCAGAATTTTAAACACAAAGTATTCGACGAAATGCAGTGGTTATACGTTCTAAACATGGATGATGGGTAATAGTCAATTTTTAGCGCCGTTTCAATATTAAATTGTTAACATCAACTGTTTGATGATAGCTGATGATCGACTAATAAACGACTAGTAAATGGACACTATCCGCGAATTGCCAATGACGATCATTTTTCAGTCTCCAATCAAGAAGACATAGGGTGCGTGTAATGATTTATAACCAGCAACGATGTACGATTAAAAATTTAAGGCGAATACTGCCCTAAGTTCGAGTTGGGTTAGATAACTGTGGCAGTTAGTCCAATTGACTAACTTAACGGACCATTCTGATACCACTATTTCACACGGTGTCGAGGTTTGCTAAAGCGTCGTATTTTTTTAATCTTCGAGCGAGCTTCTGAAAGCTTAAATAACCAGTGGCCGGTTATATAAACCACGGTGTTAGATATGTCTCCCATTAGTAGACGTCAGACTGATGCCTTTGTTCGACCAAAACAAATTCATAATGACAATGATAAGTATTCCGCTATCACTTCTGTAAGTGCTTGTCTGATCAGTTTAGCGGCGCTAAAACTTCTGTAATATCGCTATGTCCTAAAACTCATATTAGACGTTCTCTCACTCAAAGCAGTACTGACATCTTTTAAATCTGCGAGGCAATCCTTTTATCTTAATACCACCAAGTATTTAGATTTGATGGCCCCTGTCTAGCCAATTATATTTTTATTTTAACTTGGGTAACAATATCACTGCTAAGCTAAAGTAGTAGACAAGAGCCGACTGTGTGGAAGATCTGTTCCCATTTCCATGGTAACACGATGAGAAACAAGTAGAAATTCAATATGAATAATCACTGCAAAACACCAATTTAATAAAATCCAATCAATTTCATTACTTTAAACGCAATTGAATTGTTATTTCACACATTTTACAAATCAATTCATTGAAGAAATGCTTAATTGCAGTTTGCATGAAATTGTAATTAAATTTTAGTAGAGTATTGACTATTTTTTCTGAAGTGCGGAAATAGCCCAATTAAATCAAATTTTCATTTTTTCATACCGACACTTAAATTGGCAGAACACATTTCCTACGTATGCATTCTCACCCAATCCCCCAACCTTTCGAAAATACGCTGATATCGACAGAAATGATAAACATTTATTCTTGCGTTATTAATGCGTATTAATGGAAAATTGTATTAATTAAATGTGTTTCTTAATTATCAGAAAAACTAGGGAGAAGGGCAATCATAGTTAATACAAAATTTACAAGAGGGCTTATGACATTTTTTTTGTTAATTTTTTATCAACACACGTTGAATTTAATTTGTAAAATGGTATTTTATTTGTGGTGAAAAACTATTGTACCTTTCATTTCATTTACACTGTGTTATTTGCATAACCAATCACACATCAGTTAATTACGTTTAATTTATCTTTATTAATCAAGGTTTATTGAAATCATTTGACAGTTGGAAAATGTCAATTTAAATGCTGCGGTTAGTTGCAACTACGGTTTACTGTTCACATAAACGCCCCTTCGCATTTGCCTGTAAACTCATAGTCGCACTCTATTGGCGATGTTATCGGTTGCGCAAACACCGCTTTACGACAGCAAAATGAAGGGTCAAAGTCGGATTGGAGGGAACCATAAATTAAAAATGATTGTTATTAAATTAAGGAACTAACGTGCAATACCGTGGATAAATAATATTTTGTGTTATTTGCATATTTGTGTTTATTTTAAAATGGTTTATTGCGAGATTGGGAATAGCCCCGAATGAGATAACTTCAAAATAAAAGCAAAATTTTTAATTTTTAACAAATTAACGTAATAAATTGTGGACATTTCACATTACTTAAAGTGCATTGTTGTATTATTTAATTTGTTACGATAAATTATGCTAATTTGATGAAATTAACATGAACATTTCTTTTGATCCCACTGTCTCTTGAAAGGACATCATAAAAAAGTTGTCTTGTAGAATAATATGGAATGTGGTCAGCTAGCACACACACTTACGCTCGTACCTTAACTGGAAAGTACTTACAACTTTATTTATGGTATAATTAATTTCCAAGGATTCTGATAGG